CTAATACCTCTCATTGAATCAGAGATCTTTTCTCTTAATTCTTGGAGAGAATTAGGCCTATCGTCTTCAATTCCATATAGTTTGGACTTGATATATCCCCACATAAAAAAATCACAAGGTGCAAGATCAGGTGATCTTGCAGGCCAAAAAATATCTCCGTGTCCACTAATCAATCGATTAGGAAAAGTTGCACTGAGATATTCACTGACGATGCGAGAATTATGTGCAGGACAACCATCGTGTTGAAACCATATGGAATCGAAAGGAATTGGTAAATTACGAAGGGCTGGGACAATTTGATTTTGCAGAAGTTCCAAGTATTTCCGCCCAGTCAACATACCGTCTATAAAAAATGGACCAATGACATGATTCCCTATTATGCCTCCCCAAACATTTACTTTTTGAGGACGCTGGGTACGAGCGACATAAATCTGACGAGGATTTCCTCGGGACCAATACCGAGCATTCATTGAATTGTGACGGCCATGCAATGAAAACGTACATTCATCGGTGAACAAGACGTTCTCTAAAAAATGTTCATCTTGATGTGACATTTCCATTGCAGTTTGACAAAATTCTAAACGTCTATATTGATCCCCAGGGAATTGTTCGTTGGATTTATGAAGTTTATAGGGTCGGTATCCATGTCTTTTCAAAATTTTACCAACTCTAAATCTTGAAATTCCATATTGTTCTCCGAGACGAGATGTTGATTGGGTAGGATTTTGCTCAATACTTGCACAAATCAAAGTGTCCCTTAGTTCCAAATCTGGATTTACCTCCCTTCGTCTACGAACTCCTCTTGGAGCGAACACGGATCCATAAGTAAAAAAATTACGTATAATAGATTGAATTGTTGATCGTGATGGAGCCGGCCTATTTGGAAACATATTTACAAATTGTTGTCTAATCATGTTGTCTGAGAATCCATTCACATGCCAGACAACAATTTGCACTTTTTCCTCGACCGTTAAAACCATTTTCACGAATTGTTTTTTCAATAAAAAGTTTCTGTTTACCGTGCAAAAACACTTCTCGATATGTTATTATTTGATGGCTTAAAGGCTTCGCTTCGCGCGCATCCATTCCAATGTTGTCAATTGTTTTGAAAATCATTACCTGTACAGAGGAATTGGTATTAACACTAAGAATTTAGTAATGGATTTGATATAAAACAGTCATTACAATCATAAACAGAATTATTTTGTATTTCCGTTTTATGTAACATTAATGTGTATATACAAGTAACCACCTCAACTAGCACGAATCTGACCAACGAGAAGGACTATTGGTGAGTTAAATTTTAGATTTTTATACTGTCACTCGAACACCTGAACAGGTGCAAACATCAAAGAATGCCGCTTTTTCTCACGGTCGGTAAAATTTTCCCAGGCTGAGGTGGCCCATACTCTACTTGTGAGGTATAGCCAGTGAAAGAAAAAACATTGGAAACGCTAAGCGCAACGGAAATGGATTTTTGATGAAGAGCGGCAGGAAGGTCTAAAAGACAAAGGCTTAACAACGAATGCATTAGAGAAATAATGGGAATAAAACCAACCATCAGAGATAACTTATCAATAAAACATAAGATAATACCAAATGAAATACTAAAATAGCAACCAAAAAGGCAAGAGAAAACGAGGAAGATCGAGAACAAGTTGTAGGGAAAGAATAGAATAGAATATTCTTTATTAATCCCATCAGATCACATTGTGATATAGGACAAGTCATATAGTACATAAAGCATGATCAACAAGTTATATAGGACAATTACATAAAACAAAATCAATAAAATATAGATTAATATAAAAAAAAGATATGCAATATAGAGCGTTTCTGAACCCGTCGGTCCTCATTCCCTGTAGTCTTTTATTAAGTCAAAATAATCATTTAGGTTGTAAACGCATAATTGGATCAAGCATGCTTTTAATTTATTTTTGAATTTTTGAATATTATTTTCGTTTCTTATATTAAGTGGCAAACAATTGTAAAGTTTATATCCTGCAAAATCAGGACCAGTTTCAAAGAGAGTTGTGGAGTGTTTACACACGCTTAGCAACCTCCCGTGTCTTGTCGGGTAATTATGAAAGTCAGAGTTGAGGGTAAAATTTTGAAATTTAGTTTTGACGTGAATAATACACTTATAAATATATAAAGCATGAAAAGTCAACAGTCTGTGTTCAATAAAATATTTACGACATGATTGTCTATTATCAATATTGAATATCAATCTAAGAATTGTCTTTTGAGTTATAAAAACTCTAGAAGAGTTTCTAGAGTTTCCCCACAAGACAACATTGTAGGCCATATATGAATAAACCAATGCATAATACACACTTATCAATTGATTGGTGTTAAATAGAGTTTTCAACTGAAGGATCGCATAGTAACACTTATTCATTGTTTTGCAGACTTTAGTGACATTTTCATCACATGTCATATTACTTTCTAGAATGCTACCAAGAAATAATGTTGTATCACTAAAATGTATTTTCTCAGAACTAACTGTGATTTTATAACCATGGGATGGCTTACAGCGCGAGTAGAACTGCATACAAATAGTTTTCTTTGCATTTACCATTAAAGAGTTCCTTTTACACCAGGTTGTAAATTCCTGTGCTGCTAAGTTCATTTTTGATATGAGTTCGACTTCAGTTGACTCGTCAACTACAATTGTTGAATCATCTACATAAAGAACTGTATGGTCTGCAGTTAAAACATTTATCAAATCATTGACATATAAAAGAAATATTAAGGGTCCCAATACGGAGCCTTGCGGTACACCTTGATCAAGCTTAAAAACAGATGACTTCTTATTATCGACTTTTACTAGGAATTTACGATGTTGTAAGTATGACCTTAACCAGTTCAAGAAATGACCCGAAAACAAAGGGCTTCTAATTTATGCAGTATAATTTCAATGTCAATAGAGTCAAAAGCCTTAGTTAAGTCAAAAAAGAGTGCACCCACATACCTTTTTCGATCCAAAGCAGCGTGGATATAATTAAATAATGAAATAGAAGCACTCTCTGTAGATTTATTAGGAAGAAACCCATTTATTTAAGATATCATATTTATTCAGAAAATTTAACATTTTACTGTAAATACACTTTTCGATAATCTTAGAGAGTACACTTGTTACGGTGATTGGCCTGTAATTATCAACCAAACATGGATCTCCCTTTTTGAAAATTGGACTAACTACTCCCGTTTTAAGGTCACTTGGAAACTTGCCATCCTTGACAGATAGGTTGATGATGTGAGACAGAACAGGAGATATATATGAAGAAATGTATTTAATTATTTTAGTGGGATTTGATCAATACCTACTGAGCTGGTATAGTTTAAGGAAGATATAGCATTCTCAATATCAAATGGTGAGACCTCAGAAAAAAAGAATGTGTTGTTAATTGTCATAGTTGTGAAATCGTTAAAGGTATAGTTATTGAAATGTTTTAATAATGTGTGTTTGACTGATGTACAAAAATACTCACCAAATTTGTTTGCTATGTGTTCTGGATGTATCAATAATTTATTATTATCAGTAATACTCCACTCAAAATTGTTTTTATTTTTACCAGTTTGACGATTCAGTTTTCCATATCTCCTTCCTTCTTTTATTATTATTTTGATTATGTAAATAACTTTGATATGAGGCTTTTTTTATATCCTTTACCTTACGGATTAAGTTGGCCTTTTGTATTTTATAGTTATACATTAAATCTGGATTACCACTAACATTTGCTAGCCAAAATAAATCTTTCAGCTTTTTACTAAGCTGAAGAATTTCAGTATTGATCCATTTTCTGTTGGTATTAGTAGTTATGCGTTTTGATATTAAAGGACATGTTGTATCAATATGATAGGAGACAGAGTTCAAAAAAGCTCTATATGCATCATCTACATCATTTGAATATGTATAAACATTTTCGAAATTCTCAGAATCAAGACTCAACAAAAGATTAGACAAACAATTCTTTGATAAGTTTCTATAAGTAGCTATCTGGGATGTAGCAGTATTGTTACTCTCAGATATGTTTAAACTAAAATGAAGTCCTAAATGATCAACTAAATTGTAGTTCACGACAGCCTCATTGTATAATTGAGGAATATTGGTAAGAAAATAATCTAGTTTCGATCGTGAAATTACACCGTTTTTGTTTGTAAATATTCTAGTTGGTTCAGTATTAAAACTAATTATGAAATCCATCAATATAGATTTTTCCCTTGACTCTTTAAGATAACCGATGTTAAGATCACCAGAAAGAATAATACAATCATATTTAACGTAACAAATATTAAATACATGATATAATGTATGTATAAAAATATCAATATCGCCATTAGGGGAGCGATACACATTGAGTAAACAAAATTTTTTTGAGTCACATCTAAAACTAATACAGCAACACTTAAAGTTAAAATCTTGACAGATGTTCGTGAGAAAACTTGGAATATTAAATTTACACCACCATGTATATGATCACTTCGATTATAGTACGAACCTAAGAGATAATTAGGAAGATAAAAAGAATTTATATTGTAATCCGGACTTTCAGTTTTAAGCAATAATTCGATAAGACTTATTTTGTTTACAATAGATTGAGAATTAATACATAGGATCTCTAGTTGATTGGTGCTGCCTCCAATCTTATTTGTAGCATCTAGATTGCTCAATTCCGGACTCGTAACAATCATTTCTGGTTTTGTTGGGGACCGCGGCTGGTAAAATACTTGTATTTGAAGTTAAATCGGCGGACCATTGAACCCTCAGGCCAGATGCTGGGGTTGAGGTCTTCATCTTTGTAATTGGATGAGAGGAAAGGAAAGGAGGAAAGAGATGAGAGAAAAAAACCTAGAAGACAACCTAGGGGATGACCGGACAAATTTGCGATTGAAAGTAAAATGTTATAATAAACCGACACGTAGTAGTAGTATAAAGATAAATTAGTAGAAACTGTAGTGGCATTAATTATGTTAAATAAAAAAACAAAACTTACCGGTAAGGATAGCATGTCAACGTCATCTAGGAATGTTTCAATATCTGCCTCAGTCATTTTTGAACAATCAGTTTCAGGTATGTTGTATTCATGAGTAGTTGAATTTAAAACAATTAAATAAGGTAACGGTACAACCTTAAGTGCAATACTGTTGGCCAATTCAGGATTTCCTGTCCACCCAAATATAAAATTTTTGTTATATTTTTCTTTTTTGGATATTGCAAATTTCTCTACCATATTTCTGTAGTCGAGCATATCAGGATTTTCTCGCAATTTTTTCTCATCTACGACAACTAATACTATGAACTGTTTTAATTTTATAAGATCATTGATATTTCCAAGAGTTACTTTTTGAAAAGTTAAAAATCGTTCTTTGTTAACCCACTCACTTAATGAATCGTTGAGTCTGCTGCTCAGGTTGTCAACTAAAATCAAACACAAAATGTTAGAATGTTATTAAAATAAATGCTTTTTCAAAAGGCTCGCAGATTTACATCTAAAGTAACATAGGATCTCTATGTGCTGTAGACTTTTTGGTGAAAATTGTCTAAAATTGTCGTCGAGGATGAATGTGAAAAATTTCAACCCACAAAAATTACAAAAATTATTTAGAACTATTTTTTAGATTCTGATTTTTTAATTTAACAATTGCGAAACATTTTATTCCGTACTCACTACCAGACATTCTCAAGAATTTGTTGGATAGGCCAAAATTGACGAAATGCCCCTGAAGATGTTCTAGGAAGCGAAAGTACTTAGGCAAGATTTAATTAATAAACTGTGCTCGATATCTGCCTTTTCATTTGATCAAAAATCAACATATTTTGACACATATACTGTTGGTCTTCTGCCACTTTTGAATGTGGTAAATAATCCTATCTCCCTCTGTAGTATTGTTCTGAAGCAATAAATAATAAATAAATAAATATATATTGAAATAAATTCACCATTTCAACAACATTCAAAACAACAAACACGTTGAGATCTATTTTGTCCAAAACCAAACCTAACAATGATTAAGAAAGGACAAAGAATTGCATTTATAAAATACCTTGTGAATGCGATCAGTTTTATTTAGGTGAATCATCAAGGCCATTAAATGTTAGAATAAGTGAACATCAATCTTATATTAAAAATAGAGAATTTGATAGATCTCAAATATGTAAACACGCATGGGATAATGAACATAGGGTTCAATGGAATAATTCAAATATAGTCCTAAAAGAAACGGATGGCAAAAAAAGAAAAATCAAAGAAGCGGCTCTAATTATGCTAAATGAGGCCAATTGTGTCGCAAATTCCTCGGCAGAATGTAGTAGGATCTGGTTACCAATATTGAAAGAGGAAGTTATTAATAAGAAAATACCAGTATTAGTAAGTCAGTAACATATAGCGGATACATCATTTATGTTTTTTAAATAAAGTAACATATAAAATCAGAATTTTAATGTTTGTTGAAGGTAAACTAAATTCACGAACAAATACTTACAATGTCGGGATAGTATTATGAGGTTTTTTTCCTGGTTTTCCCTCATAATTTACTATGGAATCACTAACAGGAGAATTTTACTGTCATCATGTCATGTGTTTGTCTTTTTAAAGACGAATTACATGCTATGATTTTTTCTGACGGATATTCTCAAGTTAAAGTTGATTTCATGTAATCGAATGAACTATCTTATAAGTAAAGTCGTCCCAGGAGCGCAACTCAACAATATTGGCAATATCATTTTAAAGTCGTCTACTTTAAAATGCATAATGTATGTCTGAATTGTCAATATAAATGAGTCAGATAAAATTAAATTATTAGAAGAATTTTTTCACTATGTAACAAAAAACAAAATTTGTTTAATTTACTGTTTGTATTTTGAGAACGATTTCCGAATTGGAAATTGAAACGTCAATAAACGTATTTTTATCTTTAATTGTGGCTTATTCCCAGTTATAAATAGTAATTAATTCCCTCTGTAGCTTTACAAACTTTGTGGGTCTTCGCTGCCTGTACGATTTGACTTCACCTATCTCGGTCCATGAGATCGTTTCTTCACTTTTGTATTGTCATGGTATTTAAATCCCCAGTATTCACCTCTTAAAAACGAAACGTAACACTTATGCTTTGCTACTATTAACCCTCTACCGCATACGAACCGTTTTATCGTTTCAAAATTTCAAAGTGTTGTAGTATGCATAATATCATCATCTATCGAAAATTCGACTACATCATAGCTAGAGTACTCATTATAGTACAAATCTGAATGTTTGATTGCCTACCAGTCAAGAGAAAGATCGTTATAACGTCATTCGTTTGTACACGTGTAGTGAATGAACGGTAACTTATGTATGATTCCAATTTGAAGCAATATTTTTTATCTAAATAGTGAATTTATTGGTTAGAAAAAAACTATTGAAGAAAGTAAGTATTATTTGTTATCGTATAAATATTTTTCTTTATCGAATTTTACATTATTATCTAGATTACGATGTCATTTATTATCAAACCATATATGGTTTCGTTTGCATTCCGTCTAAATTGGTATAAATCCGTAAAATCCATAAATGGTTTCGAATGCAGTCAATCTTATTTTAGTTATACCGTTTTTAGAAAAATTATCATTTGGTTTTTGTTTTCAGAATGGATCCTGAGAAGTTTTCTGGCTCATCTAGTTAGTTAACTGTATTCCTGGTGATGAAGAATTAAGTGAAGATGATTTAGGTTCAGATTCAGATAATGAGTATATTCCTTTTAATGGAGAACTAAGTGAAGACGAATCTTTGGCTTGAGGATTATTTCATTATGAATTATAATATTTTTTCTACCTATAGAAATACATCTCATATCTTTTTTTATCCAAGTGAAAAAATCGCAGAACTCACGACCAGTGACAAACATTTAAATTTGCACTTGATTTAATTAATTTAATTTCAAACGTAATTCATCTTCCATTTCTAAATATGGCAAACTATCAAAACTAATCATTGAATCTTTTATTGAATAGGGATAGCCAACTTCTAACACGGTTAGTTATTCCACAAGTCCACAATGAAATAAAAAGTCCGCAGCTAATGAAATGGTTAATAGTTGCCTCCTCATAGGCACCGATAGCTATTTTCTCACGGTTTTTACTTCAATATGTTACACTGATTACACTATCAGTAAAATTAGGTATATTTCTGTATTGTTATGGTATTGGATTATAACAGAAGTTTGTCTTTTGCTTTTTTTGCACATTGCACACAGGAACTATAAAATTTATTTGTTCGGCTTTCTTTGGCGATACTTCCAGTCTGCTATTTTTTTGGCATATGCCAGGTTTAGTAAGGAATCGCAATAGCAACATGTTTGCACACTGCTTTGTATCGCTTGCCAACAATTCATCCATGGAAAGGACCAGTTTTACATTGTATGTAAGTAAGCCATTTCACTGTTGACTTGCGCTCGGTAAAAATGATATTCATCTGTTTTTGATTGACCAATAGCTAACAAAAAATTATTTTGCATTATACTGTAGTTTTTTCCGTGGACTGCGATACACATGCTCATTCCTTCTGCTAGCTTAGGGAGAGCGCCCACCAAACTGGCGTAGCAGTGGCAAGTAGCAAATAGCACGCGTCTAGCATGTTACTTAAAATGTAACCAATGAAAACGAATGATTCAGCGCTCACCAAAATAATAGTGACGTCATTCATTCTAATAATTTGTTTGCATTGGTTACATTTAAAAATAACATGCTAGATGCGTGCTACTCTGCCACTGCCACGCCAGTTTGGTGGGCGCTCTCACTTATAGAAAATAGTTATTTATGTCGACGAAATCTATTAGAGGAATTTCTGAAGAGTAATGAAATCCACATTATAGACCATACAATGTCATGTCAAAAATTATTATTGCTATCATATGTAGCCCAACCTATAATATAATATAGAATACTTAATTAGTTTCTGGACAGGCTAAGCAATGAACTTCTGGCAGCGACACAATATCTTTCATACATATATCAAAAGTGATTATTTATAATGCGTTTTGTTTTAAGGAAACACAAAATAGTATTCAATGTATGGTAGGTAGCTAAAATTACCATATTTTAGTTACATGACAGTATTAGTTCAAATCCAAATACAACACTATAATACTCAGACCAATATAAAAATTTCTATTATGGTCGGATATGAACCAATGAAACATGAAGACGATAATTTATATAGTTTACTTTTCGATAATGTCTTCCTTTTTTTCCAGTAATTCTCGCATTTCTTGTCGATTCTTTTATCAAGTCGCAAATATATAGCTAATGGATTTTGACAAGAGCCATGACCTTGTAAATAACAGATAAACTTGTGTACTAAATCGGCATGACTCATAGCTCTTGTCAAAATCCATTATCTTTACCAAGATCCGTATTTTTCTGTCATAATTTATTAAAGCCAAGCGGGAGCAACGGCGTACATAGCTGCCATTACAAGGCGCCATCTTCAAAGAGCTCTAACTCTCTTAGCAAGCATTGTCAGACTAGGTGAATTGGGTTAAATTGTCTTAAAATTATCTGCGGAGTCTCCAGTCTTCGTTTGTCAGGAGAGTTTCTGGACACCCTATATATGTGACTGTGACAACCCATTTTTTCTTATGGTCACGCAAAAATTTAATACAAAAACAAAAATACTTCGTTTCAAAAATTTACTGTTCTAACAAATATATTTTGAATTAAAAATATTTCAAAAAATTTTTCTAATATGAAAATAATATTGTTGGAAATAAAAAAAAGTATATGGGGGAGAGGGGCCGATTCAGCATTGGAACGCACAATAAAAAACCTGGCCACGCCTGGCAAAGAACGCTTGAGTGCTTTAGTTTTTCTAATCGCAGTTAAACAAGTAATACAAAATGTTAAAGATTGAATGACAAACTCAAAAAACTACTTGGTATCTGAAAAAAAGCATTGGTCTGGTGTACAAAATAAGCATTTATTGACTCACAAGTCGGTACTGTTCTGATTATATTCGATTAAGTACTGTTATTAAAATTATAATTGACATCTTAACATCTTGAAGTAAACAAAAAATAAATAAAAAATAAATCTACATACCTTTAAAGAAATGAGTTTTATTGTCTTTATATACATAAATTGAAGGTGTATTAGCGGCATCTCCACAATTTTCTTTATTTTCATTAGAGGTAATAAATTCTCCATTAGAGGTAATAAATGGTCCACAATGGTCATCAAAGGCAAAAAATAGCGAGTGGGCTCTGAATTGATGAGATATATGAAAAAATTCATTCCACAATTCTCCTTTCTGGACTCCATTATACATAAAAAATGTATCAACAGTACGCTTAATCTTGGACAGGTACTTCGACGAACTTATAAAACGAATCGGTGGTCCCTCCATCCTAAGTGCAAACTGAACAATATCATCTTTGTTTCTATCTCCACTAAACGTTGCATCAGCATTTGAAGAAATACTGAAATGAATAATATGTTATTACCATTGTGTCATAATTATAGTCGTAGCGGTATAAATTATTTTATGCACCAAGGGTGTTATTAAAATGATTACTCCCGGAGAGCAACATAATCCAGCCAGAAGATCTCTGGCCCGAGGGATGAATGTTGCTCGATGGGCGTAATCATCCGTTAACACCAGTGGTACATACAAGATTTTATTTTTCACTTAATTCAAACAAACTAAAATTGAGACGTTTTTACTTTTATTTTACTGCACCTACAAGATATATATATATATATATATATATATATATATATATATATATATATATATAATATATATATATATATATATATATATATATATATAGTGCTGAGTGTCTTACCACCCGGCTTTTTAACGTAAGAGATAGAAAACACAGTTACCTTGTGAAATAAAAAGAGATGAAACTCGTAGAGGTGGGAAATAATCGATAGAAACCTATAATTTACATTACATTATATTACCACTATCGATAGTCTCACACCTTTAGACGTTAGCTTCGAGCTAAATCACCTCGGTCATAATTATTATGTTTGACGTCGTATGTGTGACGTATTTCCATTTTTTAATTTCGCATAAAGTAAAAACTGACCACAATAAAGCAAAAATGTGAATAAAATAATTTAATTAATAGTGATTATTTAATCTAAATTAATTTTATCTAAATTTTTATTTAAATTTAATCTAAAGTTTTAAATTATTAACCAAAAATAATTTCTACTACGATTTTAGGAGTTTCATACTCTTGTCAGAGAACTACGAACACAGGTCTCTAACTGTGGTCGTTAGTTCTCTGCTCTTGTCACGGAATAATTATCAATCCATCGTGGATTAGTGGTAAGAATTCGACACTGCGGTGCAGACGATTAGAGTTCAAAACCTACATGTGTTTTTTTTTAATAATTTGAAATTATGCAGAGATCGTTTTGCTTTTGAACATTTATGTCAGTCGTTACTAGTATTAGAAGTGTTTAAAGTTAAACATAAATATCTTATTGAAAAAAGTGTCCGTCGTACTTTCGAAAATAAAGTAAAAATTCCTCAAAATTAAAAGAACGTTTAAAGAATGTTTAAATAAGTAAAAATTCTACAAAAATAAAAAAATATTGTAAATAAACGTATTTACAATTGTCAATTGTTTTGAAAATCATTACCTGTACAGAGGAATTGATATTAACATTGAGAATTTAGTGATGGATTTGATATAAACAGTCTTCACCGGATTATTTTGCATTCACAACTGAAGACTGTATGAATTGAATTTGAATTATTTTGTATTTCCGTTTTATAACATTGGAATAAGAATAAATTGTAAATAATGAGTTTTTCGAAAATTTGTTACCTAATATGTATCATATTTTCTATTATTTTTTGATTGATAAAACAAAAATTTTATCCTTGGTGGGAATTGAACCCCAATTTTCTTCAGTCAATAGACAACGTCCCTAACTACTACACCAATTCCACATAAATTAATTGTTTTCGAACAGAACATACCTACCTTTATTTTAGTCAAATATTTCAGTTGAGTTATTTTTATTATTAAATAAACTTAAAGATTTATAATTTAAAATCGCTACTAATGAATGTTTTTTACTATAATATATCTTAATTTATTCAAGTATTTATTCTAACATCAGAAATTATTAAAATAAAATATTTTTGAGGTTATCCGTATAATTATGACTGAAGTCAAATAGCCACGTCTAACGTCTAAAGGTGTGAGACTATCGATGGTGGTAATGCAATGTAATGTAAATTATAGGTTTCTATCGATTATTTCCCACCTCTACGAGTTTCATCTCTTTTTATTTCACAAGGTAACTGTGTTTTCTATCTCTTACGTTAAAAAGCCGGGTGGTAAAGCACTCATCACTGTATACTGCACCTACAAAATATATATATATATATATATATATATATATATATATATATATATATATATATATATATATATATATTATATATATATTATATTATATATACAGTGTAGGAAAAATTTTATGGTCGGTATGGACCTTACGTGAGATGGAGTGAGAAACAGCTGTTTAAAAAGAGAGAGGTATATTAGGTACGCCCTTTATATCGCCGAATGGAAATATTAAAAAAGGGGAAATTCAACGTTGCCAAACTTATTGGTTTTATTTGACCTGTTGTCTTTTTTGCATTTGAACAATGTTCTATCAAGAAGATAAAATGCTCAAGATAATCAAATTTGGGCGAAATTGATTTAAATGGCAGGTTACTGTTTTTTTTATTGGGAATATGCCACAAGTTTTCTTTACAATAATTGTAATATAACATTTTGATTTCCATTTCGGAAATCGTTTTATATAAATAAAATTTATTAATGTTTCGTATTTTAAGTACGATTTCCGAACTAAAAATCTAAACATCAAAATAATTTCCCAATATGAAATAATAAACAATTAAACATGCATACAATAACGCCAAATTAAAAAATATTCATACACTAATTTATTTGGCAACGTCTAGTCTAGATAGTCGTTTGGCCACCGTTGTTCGGTGGTTTGGTCAAAAGATCGAGTAACGAGAAGTAGAGGTGGGTCGTGCTAGTTTATCGTTAAGAGCGTAGGTGCAAAATTTCGGGTCAATGTTTTTTAAATGCATTCATTTTTTTCGAATCCTGAGAAAACTAATAAATATTTTTGAAAAAATTAAACGCAGAATGAAACAATACATTATTACCGAGAGCTGAAAGTCCCTGAAAACTTCTATAATGTGTATTTTAATAAGTTATAGGGATGAAAAAAAAAACAAAATTTAGTGTGATTTTTAATTTCAAATATCTCATTAAAAAAACTTTTTGTTTATTCTAAGGGACCTTCGGCCCTCGGTAATAATGTAATCTTTCATTCTGCATTTAAATTTTTCAAAAATATTTGTTAGTTTTCTCAGGATTCCAAATAAATTTTAATTTTTTTGAATGCTAAAAAGCATTTAAAAATTTTAATTTTTATAAACAAGTAACTATGATTGTTTAAAAGTAGTTTCAAGTAAGATAGTACCTACATAAACAAACATAACGGCTATTATCGTTTATGTGTATATCTTTTGAAGTGAAAGAAACTACCTAATGATATATTTATTATAACTTGAAAAATAAACTAAACAATCATCATCATCATATAACGGGGGTCCTACGGCGATTGCCGCTTCCCGCATTTCAGCCTCCATCTTTTCCTATCTCTCCAATCTCCCTCTTCTAAGCCTCTAGATTGCATTGTTTTTGTAATTTCTCTTCTCCAGGAATTTGGTGGTCTTCCCCTTTTCCTTCTTTCTGGCGGAACATACATTAAGGCTTTCTTTGGCCACCGCTCCTCCTCCATTCTCATCACGTGACCATACCATTGTAATTGCCTTCCTTGTATTCTATCTGAAAGAGTATCTCTAATTCCTGTACGGTTTCGTATTTCCTCATTCCTGATTCTTTCCATTCTCGATACTCGACATGACCGTCTAAGATAATCCATTTCCACAACGTCTACTTTATCTCGTTCATTCTTTGTCATCGTCCAACATTCGGCACCATATGTGGTAATTGGTTCTACAATTGCTCTGTATACGCGAAGTTTGGTATGCATCTTTATTTTATTAGACCACAGTAATGAATTCAGTATTCGGATGCATTTTTTCCCTTGGGTTATTCGGTTTTGTACATCTATCTTAACTCTGCCATCTGCTGATATGATGCTTCCTAGATATTTATACTGGTTGCAGCCTTTTATGACTGCGTTTTCAAGCCTCAGATCTGTGGTATTTCCTCCAATTTTTAAATATTCTGTTTTAAATATTCTGTTCTAAACTAAACAATACAAATAGTAAATCGGACTTACATTTACATTACACGTTATTATTAAATCGCGAATAGTCTAAATTGACATAAAAACTATTGTCCTGTGTTAAATATTGTCCTGTTAATGCGAAGTAACTCTCAGTTACTCCAGATGTCCAGGTAATACAGATATTTTCTACTTCTTTAACAACTTGCGATCTAATAATTTGCTCACTTTTGACATAATATTCCTGAAGTAATGAACCTGACAAAGTTTTTCTTGTTGGTGGTTTATATCCAGGAATCCACCCTGCAAACTTTTTAAAAGCTGGTTCTTTAACTATGGAAAACGGATGAAACGAAAAGTTTAGTAAATCTTGAAAATCAATCAGTCCAAGAAAAAGAAACTGATAAAGATGACTTAAGTCCATGGTGTATTTTTGATGAATTAATTGGACATGACTCATCTAAACATACACCTGTATCGAGAGGTATAAAAGAAGTCGACATGTAATTGTCTGATGATATATTACCCACAAACAATTTCGAACGGAGATTGGAACTGTCCATTACCGTGGTGAAAAAACCATCGCCATGTATATCGTAACTTAACCACTATATTCATAAAATGTTGTAGTATTGTAACAAAATCTTTTCCTTGTGAACACATGTTTAACATCTGGTATAATTTTAAATAAAAGAAGAACGCGATTAACAAGAAAAGTGGAAAAACTTATGTTTTTAAATGTCAATTTAGACGATTCGCGATTTAATAATGTGTAATGTAAATGTAACTATTTAAGTACCATTTGTATTATTTAATTTATTTTTCAAGTTACAATAAATATATCCTTCGTTAGGTTCTTTTATTTCAATACTTATACACATAAACGATAATAGCTAATATGTTTGTGTACTCGCTAATTTGAATACTGGTAAACAATCAACTAGTTACAGTTTACGAAAAACGGTTCCGATAAAAATTAAAAAAACGAGAAGACCCACCTCTAGTTTTTTAGGTATATTAGGATCGGAACCAGAGAATATCTGATCGGAACTAATCGTCTCACTAATGGGCAATGGCCAATGAGTGTTAAAAGGATTTTAGGAGGGGAGACGAAGGGGAAATATGATTGTTATCTTTGTCTAATTCGTTGAAAATATGATTTTATATCTGC